CGAAGGGGTGAAGACGGCGGCCGTGGCGAGTGGATGCAGCGTCGGAGGTCATTTCGGCGACGGGGATGAGAGAAGTCTGACAAAGAGAGGGGGAGATGAAGGAAGACGAATCGACTGCCCTGGCAGCGGGGGCAGAGAAACGGGAGGAGGAATTGAGAGTAGAGAGGAAATGAGTTAATTGATTTTATGGTTTGGGGTAGATAGGGTAGGGGGAGTATATATAAATTAATTTATTGTAAATAGATATAAAAATAAAAATAAAAATTTGTTATTAAATTATTAATTAAAACCTGATTTTTGCAATATGAAATTTTATTCAGGATTTATGAAAATAGTAATTTAAAAGTAGGGTTTGGTGTAATTTCCTCTTATTTTAATTTAACAAAAAAATTGGGCTTTGGGCCAATCTCTAGGCTAAGATGGATGAAAAACTTCACCACGACCCGAGCCCAATACAGCCTAACATAAAAAAGGGATGTTTCAGTCCTATAGTCAGGCTGGCCTGTTTGATACAGTTAATAGAAATGGGTACATAACAGTTTCCAACCTTACGTCTCACTGTCCTAAAATTTGCAGAAGACATGAAAAGTTGAAAACGTTGTTGCTGTTAACCCTAAAAATCCATAAGCCAGTATAATTTTTGGTTTTTCGAGTTTCCAACTTTCTCAACTCCAATATAATTCATCATTTCGAACATAAGAAATGTCGGTTTAATAAAAAATGAAAAATTCAGCCCATCAAGTTCATAATCTAACCATAAAATTTGTGGAAATATCGTTTCCACATCAAATAAAAACATTATTTGAGTTGAAATTTCTGCCTTTCCGCTTCTGCAACCTAGACAAACTCATATTTTTTTTATATTAGCAATTCAAAGCTGAAGCAAGGTTAGAACAAAATTTTGTGCTTCTTTCTTTTCATAATTTTCCACGCGTTTTGACTTTTATATTTCATTAGAAAAGTCATTCGTAGAAACGACCTATTAAATTTGTGCACGAATTATTAACATTTATTTCTTTGCATTTAGGTCTTTGATTAGGTGTGATTATAACAATATACTAGCATAATAGATTATTCAACGGAGAGAAGTGCATTTCACACCGGAATTATTGTCTCATTGTCCAGTAAAATTCAAATCTATTATTACTCATCAGATAATGTGACGGTCATTTTATTGTCACATAAATTGTTGTCCATCACTATCGTCTATGTATAATAACATTATTCAAATTGAAACCCGACCTCGTGAAATGATATTTTTAACCTCAAAATGAAGGGTCTATATACTTCTTCTAGTTTCCAAGACTATTTCCAATTGGAATCAATTTTGTCAATGTAAGACTAGAATTTAACATATCTAAGCTGATCGTTAAAAAAGGGTCAACTCTAATGGGACCCATTTGAAAATTGATAAAATAAAATTAACCATTGGTCAATGATTAACCAATCAATCCAAGATACCATTATTTGTGATTGGAGTCTGCAATATATATTTTGTTATTCAATTAAATAAAGTTCAATACTCATGCACATAAAAAAAATTAGTGGATGTCTGTTCTGCATATCACAAGGATCCCAAGTTCATTATAAAAATGGGTGTCGAAAACAAAGTAAGATTGTGATTATTTTAAAACTTGCTTGGTTCCTATTTGTATGTGAATTAAAATTTAAATAAAAGTTAACAATTAATTTTAAACCACATATTTTATGAGATCCAGTTTTCGATTATATATTTCATTAATTTTTATTAAAATTTAATAAAAATATGATTTCTTTAACTATACCAGACAGGGACTAAACTTATAAGTAAATAGGTTTTTTAATTAGAGTATTGTGATTTTCTACTTAATTATCCACCACGGAAAATCAAGAACTGCTTGCATTATTTATCATTTTATTTTCTTAAATTCATGCAAGGTCTAGTGCTAGGACTTGGGCACTCATTCAAATAGTAAAGATTCTTTAATTTGCATCAACTATCATATTATAATAATTGCAAGCAAGCTACATACTGCATGAGCATATTTGAAATGGGAGGTGGATTCAAGTGGAGTGGACTTGAGGTCAATTTTTCGGGCATATGATAAATTGTAGAGGATATTACACCTAACCCTGTTTTTAAAGTTTAAACTTCATTAATCATTTTAAGTTTAATTTTTCATAAATCAAGTATGATTAAAATAATATAAATTTAAATAACCTACATATTCACCTAGCACAATCCCACCCACCAGGGGCGGAGCCAGCTCATTAAAGTAGGGGGGTCCAAGAGTTGAAGGAGTGGGGGCTCACGAGGGTTCGGGGGCAGCGCCCCCGAAAATTTTTTTTTTGAAACATTATCTATTAAAATGAGGGAAGTTAATACTTTGTGATCTAAAAAGGAAACCAAAGAACATAAATTAATGTACATTATTAACAAAAAAATCAAGAAACATATAAATTATCAGAAGTTACATATTCGAATTTGAGCTCAAGCTCACGTAGATCGAATCTTCCTCAATAGCCTTGAACTCATCAAACTTGCACTCAAACAATAAGACGACATATAAACTCAATAAAACCCCAAATTAAAACATGTAGAAGACCCAATTTAATTTTCATGGTCAAAATTCTACATTAATGGTACTTGTATACTACGATACAAATTATTATCATGGACGAAT